TTTTTTTTTATCGCAGTATCTGCTAGGTCTAGGTTAATGTCAGAAGTTTTTAATGCCTAAAGTGCTATTTATTCCTGTTTGTTGTGGTGGAGCTTTAAGAATCGGACCGAGAAATTTTTGTAGGTAGTCTATCACCACTGATACGTGTGATCTTTTGATTTGTTTCGTTGACATTTGATTTGTTATCGATCAGACGTACAATTCCCAAGATTTCTTGCTTTCTTTCGTCCTGCGAAACTTCGCTCTGAGTTTTTTGAATTTTATTAAGTTTTCTGCAGTCGAATTTTTTTTAATACAATGATTTTTATCATTAAATTTTGCCAGTATAACATTTAAACTGAAGTATATGAGAAATGTATAGAAATATCATCTTTCCTAAAATAATATTCGAGAATGCATTACGTGAAAAGTATTTTCGTGTAAAATTTGTCAGTGAATAGCGATGATAAATTTCTTACTGATTATTTATCTACACGTGTACCTTGTGCACATCGTTTACAATATACAAGGTGCGATTAGAAATTGTGTAACAGCGGACATGATGTCAGATGAGCACTATTTTGTCGAAAACTACGTTTTTAATAGAAAATAAATATAGATAGAAAATACAAATACATTATATGTAATATTACAGAATAATTGAAAGATAATACAAGAATTATAATATACTCAATATTGTTATTAATTCTATATATATTCCACAGTTTATGATTAAAATTGTGTTTTATTTATATGAAACGAATTTTTACAGAAAAAGAATATGATTTTATTATCGTGGGAGCTGGTTCAGCCGGATCTGTTCTTGCAAACAGATTGAGCGAAATAAAAAATTGGAAGGTAATTGTATTAAACATTGTCAATTGTTAGTAAATTACGATATTCATGTTTTTAAGTATATACAACACTTGAAGAAAATAAGATGGAGAAGATATTAAAATTATGTATTACAGAAAATATAAAGGACAATATACATAATATAGTCAGGTTGAATAAGGAATTATATGGTATGGATAACTGTTTCTTATAATTATAAATGAAAGAAAATTTATCAAGATGACTGACATGACTTATGATTGATGAATGACAATTTAAGTCCATTGAAATATTTATTGTATTATTAACATTGGAATGTTAAATATATACACATTAAAATGTGAAAATATTACACACGTATATACATACACAAACACACAAAACATTTGTACTGTTATATAATATTTATAACGTTCATAACATCTATATATGTTATATGTATAAATAATTATATAATTCAAAGAACATAGAACAAAGAAATATACATATTATATATGCAACTTTTTAAAAAAGGCAAGATATTCATTATTTAATTCATTTGTAATAATCAAGTATATAGTACACATCAGTTTTATCACTGATGATGTAAATGAGATTATTACACAATTGCTATGAACTTGTTTTAAATGGGATTTAAAATTTGACAGAACTTGCTTATAACTTGTACATTTCTTGCAAACTACTGTTACATTTCCAATCAAGCTGGGACTTGGTAAGTATCACTTCAAAAAAAGTACTGTCCCATACAGCTTTTGATTCTTTCTTTTTTCATTATTTCGTCAGCAACTATGTTATTGATGGATTCATTAGACACACTAGACAATTTCAAACAATTAGTACTAATCAATTCACACTCTTTCTCATTCACTCATTGTTTTAATTAGTAATTGACAGTATTATTCTTTATTTCTTCAACTGCTTTCCAAATTTTTAAACATTTTTATTTACATAACTTGCAAGTATAAGGTACCTGCAAGTACTATAGGCCACTCAAGTGCCCCATAAATTTCTTCAAGTGTGAGGATGCAATCATTAACATCGGTGATCAAGAAAAGTTCTGACATCCATCAGAAACCAGTTATTGCAATCAAAATCAAATAACGATTCTAACAAATAAGAAATAATTCATTTCATAAAATAACAAATAAATCATTTAACTGGAAATTAATTAATCGAATTCTTATATGAGATACTTAATAATATAATTTATTTATTTTACAAATAGATTGTTTCTGAAACAACTTTAAAAAGTTATTTAAAAATGTTATTTGAAAATTTTTCAACCATCACCCAGGTTGAATCTGATCCTGATATGCTCGGTGATAAACGTCGATCAGAAGATAAAGTAAACAAATTTTTCAGTCAACGACCGAAGTAACAATAGTATCCAATAATTTGTCGATAAATTGAATTTGGTGAAAGGAATTATTGGAAATGTGTGCTGATGGAGTACTCTACGACTATATCATCCGGTTGAAAGATGGCACCAAAATCAGACTTTGAGGACAACTCTCAACCCATAAACCCCTTCATCATGGATAAGAGTTTGAGGGTTTATGGGATCGATGGTTTGAGAGTTGTGGGTTCTTCAACTATGCCAAAAATTGTTAAAGATAATACGAATGCGCCTACGATTATGATTGCGGAGAGAGCTAGTGATATGATTAAAGAGGAATGGTTGTCTGGCAAGATTTGAGTGATATGATATCAAGTGGATTAAATGAAGCTTAATTGTCATAATTTCAAATTAAGCTGTATATGTATAGAAATTTGCATAATTTAATATTTAAACAAATTACAATTTGTTAGCTCTATTGTTGAAATAAATTGTTGTTAGAAAAATGTTTAATTATAATTAAAAGAATTATTTCTTTTAACGAAGTTA